ATAAAGCACTGATTGGCCATTGGCTAGGCAGGAAGTGTAGGCGGGACAAGGAGGAGAATAAAGCTGGGAAGTGGAAGGCTGAGTCAGAGAGACACTGCCAGCCACCATGATGAGAAACAGCATGTGAAGATGCTGGTAAGCCACGAGCCATGTGGCAAGGTATAGATTAATGGAAATGGATTAATTTAAGCTGTAAGAACAGTTAGCAAGAAGCCTGCCACGGCCATACAGTTTGTAACCAATATAAGTCTCTGTGCTTACTTGGTCGGGTCTAACCTTATGTTGACTCACTATTGGCCAAACACCTTTATTTATCAACCAATCAGAACAACACTTATTCACAGCATACAGAAAGACATCCCACAGCACAACTTCATAGGTTTTTATACATATATACATATACATATGTGTACAAAAATATCTTAAATGATGGATACTAACTTGTTGCTAGTAGTAATTTGTAATTAGTAGAAGTGGTTTTATCCTTGTTATATCTAATTTTCCAAGTTGGACATAAAGTATTGTAATAATCAAGTAAAAATACATATTCCTCTACCAGGATTAATTGGCACCTAGAAAGGAAGAGAATTAATATGCTTATGTTTATTAGCCAAAATGTTAGATTATGGAGAGTTTAGTAATAAAATGGTAGGCTTAGAAAATTTAGACAACTTTCTCAGCTATGTTCATAGTGACATTATTCATAATAGCCAGAACCTGGAAGCAACCTAGATGCCCCTCAACTGAAAAATGGATAAAGAAAATGTGGCACATATACACAATGGAGTACTACTCAGCTGTAAAAAACAATGATATCATGAAATTTGCAGGCAAATGGATGGAACTAGAAAATATCACCCTGAATGAGGTAACTCAGACCCAGAAAAACAAACATGGTATGTACTCACTCATAAGTGGATACTAGATATAAAGCAGAGGATAATCAGACTGCAATCCACAGATCCAGAGAAGATAGGAAACAAGGAGGACCTTAAGTAGGACACATGGATCACCTTGGGAAGGAGAAACAGATGAGATCTCCTTGAGTACACTGGGGATCTGTAGCTAGAATTTTCCTGCCTGGCCCACGATCAGGACAAATCTCTCTCATCTGCCAGTCCCACAGCCACTCAGACACAACCAAGTAAACACACAGAGACTTATATTACTTATAAACTATATGGCCGTGGCAGGCTTCTTGCTAGCTGTTCTTATATCTTAAATTAATGCATTTCTGTTAGTCTATAAGTTGCCACATGGCTTGTGGCTTACTGGTACCTTACATCCCGCTTGTCATGGCGGCAGCTGGCAGCATCTCTCTGACTCAGGCTTCCACTTCCCAGAATTCTCCTCTCTCCTTGTCCCACCTATACTTCCTGCCTGGCTACTGGCCAATCAGTGTTTTATTTATTAACCAATCAGAGTAACACATTTAACATACAGAACATCTCACAGCAGGGATCATAGAGGGCAATAGAGGGGAGGGGATGGGGGATGAGAACATAAAGGAATGTGATGATCAAGCTGGGGGAGGGACAGAGTGTGAGAGCAATGAAAGAGATATCTTGACAGAGGGAGACATTATGGGGTAAGGGAGAAACCTGGTACTAGGGAAATTCCCAGGAATCCACAAGGATGACTCCAGATTAGACTACTAGCCATAGTGGAGAGGGTATCTGAATTGGCCTACCCTAGTAATCAGAAGGGTGAATACTCTACCACCACTAGACTTCATTCAGTAACTAATGGAAGCAGATGTAGAGATCCACAGCTAAGCAACAGGCTGAGCTCCTGGAGTCCAGTCAAAGAAAGAGAAGAGGGAATATGTGAGCAAGGGAGATCAAGATCATGATGCGAAAATCTATGGAGACAATTGAACCAAGCTCAAAGGAACTCCCGAACTTTAGACTGACAGCTGTGGAACCTGCATGGGACCAGACTAAAACCTGTGCATACAGGAGACAGTTGTGTACCTTGGTCTGTTTGAGGGGCCCCTAGCAGTGTGATCAGGATCCATCCCTGGTGCATGAGCCGGCTTTTGAGAGCCCGTTAACTATGGTGGGATACCTTGCACAGCCTTGATGCAGGGGGAGGGGCTTGGACCTGACTCAACTGAATATACCAGGCTTTACTGTCTCTTCATGGGAGGCCTTACCCTTTTGGAGGAGGGGATGGGGGTTAGGTAGGTAGGGGGAAGCTAGAGGGGGAGTGGGAGGAGGAATGAGGGGTATCTGTGGTTGGTACATAAAATGAATATGTTTTTTAAATAAAAAGAAAGAAAATTTAGACAGGCATGGTGACTCAGTAAGTGGCTAACATCACTATAATCTGGTAAGTGTAATAATAAAGACTGCAGTGGAAAAATTCACAACAGAAGCCCAAATAAGGGCTTAGCTATGTAAATGAAGTCACAGAATAATAAATAGGAAAAAACGTAAAAGAGAGAGAGAGAGAGAGAGAGAGAGAGAGAGAGAGAGAGAGAGAGAGAGAGAGAGAGAGAGAGAGAGAAAGTACCTGTATAATAAAGATCCTCGGCCAAGTGGTGGTGGCGCATGCCTTTAATCCCAGCACTCGGGAGGCAGAGACAGATGGATCTCTGTGAGTTTGAGGCCAACCTGTCTACAGAGTGAGTTCCAGGAAAGGCGCAAAGCTACACAGAGAAGCCCTATCTCGAAAAACCAAAAAAATAAAATAAAATAAAAAAATAAAGATCATTGCCTCTATAAAATAAACAGCATTTAAAGAGTCCTGATTCCTCTGAATAAGTCTTCCTCCTAAAAATGCTGTGGACTTTCACTGATGTCAAACTCTATAGCTAGATATCTCTGGGTTTTTAATAGGGCTGGTAGTAAGAAGTACTTCTAGGTAGCCTTTTGAGAAGATTTAAAAATAATATCCCTGAAAGCAAATGCCTGTGGCTTGTGCCATCTCAATTTCCCTTTCCTATTAGTACACGATGTTCTTGCTGGCTGAACCGCGTCCCTTAGCTGCTCACATTGGGACACGCTTACTGTAGCTAGGTTACATACTTGCAGAGATTGCAAAGCTCTGAGAAGAGTATCCAGGAGCATTTAGCGAATTGTTTTCTAATATCACTCTAAAATAGTGATGATTGGAATGTTTTTGACAACTGGTTCAACATTAAGTTTAGGCAGATTAAAATCAACCTTTGGAGAATTAAATTTTGTTTGTCATTAGTGCTTAAATTAAATTTAACACATATGTTTTTGCCAGATGAGGAATTTTTTCACTGGCTTTTGTGGTGTTTGTGTGTGTGTGCACGTGTGTGCGCGCACTCGCATGTGCGTGTGCATATGTGTTGTTTGTACAGTGCATGTGTATGGTGTATGTTTATGAGTATGCTGGTGCATGCTAATGTATGTGGAGGCCAGAGTAAAACATTTCCTGATTTCCTCTATTGCAACGAAAAGCTAGCCTTTTTGAAAAGGCTAGCCAGCAAGGTCTTAGGACCTGTCTTTTTCTGACCTCCAGCTACAGAAATACACATCCATGTGTCTGGATTTTCTGTGAATTCTAAGGTTCCAAACGCAAGTCCTCATGTGCCCAGAGCAGCATTTCCCCCCACCAAGTCATCTCCTCAGCCCCTTAATGGGGATGTTTATTTCAAAAATCTTTTCTTCTACCTTAAAAATTATAGAAACCAACTCATTTCAAAGGAAGCACAGGAAAATAAACATTCAAGCCAGAAATATGCTTGCAGCAGGAAATAAATGAGTGGTTATGCGTAGTTTTTCACACAGCACTGATATGTTATACATTATAAATTTAAAGTGAACTATGCTTATAAATTTCTTACTATACTGGTATTTTTCGAGGGGTGAGAAGCTCACAAAGCCCCACATGGAGTTGAGAAGCTTGTAAGTTATTGGTAGCTGAGGACTTTTGGGGGTCAGGAAGCCAGTTTTTTTCAGAGCTGAGGCTCCCGGTATGTGGCCTATGCTCCAGTATAGTGGTTCTCAAACTTCCTAATGCTGTGATCCTTTCATACAGTTCTTGTTGTGGTGACCCCAAACCATAAAATTATTTTGTTGCTACTTCGTAACTATAATTTTGCTACTGTTATGAATCATAATATTTCTATCTGATATGCAGGATACATGATATATGACTCCCAATGGGGGTCACAACTCACAAGTTGAGAACCACAGCTTCAGTAGTTGGTCCTACACCCTGGTACATACTAGCAGGAATAATAACATTCAGTGGGCTGAAAATTAAGGGACATGACGTTTATAGAGAGGCATAGTGAGGAGAATTTCTAATTCTGGAAAAGTTGGAGGGGAGTGCAGGGGATGGATTTGATCAAAACATGAATATAGGTATGAAAATCTTGAAGAATAAATATATATTTTAAAATTCACATTCAGTTTATATATGTACTGCAATAGACCATTTAACTCTAGAATTTAATAATTTAAAAATTATTACAAATTTCTAAAATAGGAATATAATTATATTTAGGGTATTTACTAAAACTCACCCAAGCCTTGTGACTATCTTAAAAAAGATAATCCCTATAATATGATAAACTTAAAGTGATTGATTATGTTAAGGACCAAGTCAGAGAAGAAATTAGACTAAATCTTTGCCTTCTATTATTTATTTTAAATCTCATCCAATATGGAAGGATTTTTTCTGTATTTCCAAACTTATTTCAATTGCACCTCCAAAACCCTACTACTCATAAGAAAATAGGCAGTTAATAGTTTGATTAATATTTTTAAACAAATATTATTTCTAAATTAAAACCCTATAAACAAAAATTTTCAAATTTATTTCTGGCAAAAATAAACCGAATGTTTTAAAGAAATCCTCAAATCTCAATTTTTTTCATTTTGCAGGATTAATACTCTATTAACTTTGAGACACAAATTTTTTCTTCATCTTCTAAGTATCACATATTACTTCCTTTATGAATGGATGAAGTACTACAGCATGACCTGAAAATGAATTAGGGAAAATTTAAAGAAAAACAGGAGTGGGAAAACACAAGCAAGGTTCTTTATTATGCAACAGCAAATATTTATTACAATTTGAAGTGCAGGTTTCCATTGGCAAAAAAAAAAAATCAGTAAATAATAACTGATTGCCTTTGTTCGGCCTTAGTATACAAATAAAGAAATAAAAGATGGCAGTTTACAATCTCTGCTCTAAAATCACATATAAGAGTTGGAAACATTCATGCAAGCAAAAAAATGCACAGTTATATAGCAAAATTCTGCATATTCTCTATAAGGAAAAATCTGACCATTTTGAATTCCTAACTCATCTTTAAATCCTTTCAGCAATTTAGGCTTGGTACTGAACAGCATGTAATGTATCAACACCAATACAAAATACATGTCAGATGTTTAAGGAAAAGAAAACATAGCTCAATACCAATCCAGGGCTAACACATCATGTCCAGTTTTGAGTAAGGCCTGGCTCCTTTCTCACTTTCAGTATTCTTACCTAGGAACAAGTCCAATACATCTGTATAACATCCCATTACCTCTATCTGAATGGCAATGCTCTTCAGTCATACGTATTTCTTTTTAATCCCCAGCTCCTCTATTTGAAAATCATACTGCATTGTCATAATCACATATTATTACATCTAGTGGCATAGAACCAGAGGTTTTAGTAACACATATATTCTACTTTCAGTATGAATCTTTGAAGTTCACAAAATAAAATCTAATTAATTTGGAGCTTATAAAGAGGGGATTTTTCATTCCCAATAAGCTGGATGGGTTGATTTTCTTCCTCTGCATTTTTTCTTTTACCTTAACTCATAAGCAGATTTTTGAAAATTTAAAATATGCTCAAATATAACATTTGGTATTAAAAATAGCAACAGCAAAAATATCCAGTCTATACCTTAGAGCAGTGTATTTTCTGCCCTGTCTGCCATACATTCTACATTTATACTTAATATCCCTGCATGGAATGATGGCACTGAAACTCTTAGTGTAAGTTACTCCAACCATGAACATTCAAATATACCCACAAGTCTTGATAGTACTAAGGCAAGAAGTGAAAACAAGTACATTCTTTGATCAATAAGAAGACAGAGCATAAAACTGAAATAAGGCTTGAAAGAAAAACATTGATTTTTTTGGATTAATTTTGAAAGTCCAAATTAGCAGAACACTTGAACACTTGAATACCTAAACCGTCCTCATCAGCTAAGATTTTGATATAAACACAAGTTTCTACGACAACTATTTTCAGGTAATAAACTTTTTAGAAAAGTGCACTTTGCACTAACAACATACAAACTTTATACACCATGATCACAATTCATGAGTGACATTTTCCCAAATGTAGGCAATCTGGAACACGGAATGTACTTTACAATTGGAACAATGCTATAAAACTATGGTTAGCGCTCCAGAACAGATGTCCAAACTCTGCTTATTAAAAAATATTCTCAATATATCACACATATGTGATGAAAACTAAAAACAATATCTTTAGAACTGCTAATAGTAAAATAACACAACATTTATACAATTCTAACATCATAACAGGGGTTTTCTTCCACAGAGAGACTATAGGGATCACTCACTCAAAGACAACACAGCTAAGAATTAGTGGAACGTATCTGTACGAAAAGTCCAAAGAATGGTGAAGAGGTGCAGAAAATTCCTCCAAGCGACTTCTGACAGCTCCATCTCTCTCTCTTTCTCTCTCTCTCTCTCTCTGCTAAGAAGCGCACTGGTTAATCAGGGCCAGTTCCACCTGAAAGAAAGGAAAAAAGAAAAGAAAAAAAGACAGAGTTAAAATAGCATGCGGAACATGAAGTACAATTAGGTTGAACTGAAAGATAAAAAGCATACTGGGAGGAGGTCAACCAACCTTAGCTCCAGAGGCCTGCATAGTTGCCATGGAGGCCTGAGGCCAGGGGTCCTCCACCCACGAAGAGCTTCATCTCTGGCCAGTTGTAGCAGTGAGTGTAGAGTGCGTTGGGGAAATCCTCTACACCAGCAACATAATTCTCCAAGAGATCATCTTGGTTGATCCAGCCGCTGCCACAGGTGAGCTTGAGCTTCCTTCCAGAGGGCACAGGAAACATGTCTGGACTGGCTGCCGATCTTTCCTCGAGGAACTTCTGGGCACGGACGTCATAGAAGAGCAGAGAACCGTGGCCTGTTCCCACGGTGACGATATGCTGGTAGACACTCAGGGAACGCACACCAGTGCCTCCCTCTCGGGAGCAGAGTGGTGGGATGTTCTGCCGGCCTTGGCGCAGATCCAGGAATGAAACATGAGACTGGGAACCCACAGCATAGAGGGACAACTCATCACAGTAGGTGAGACACACGTTCTCCCGGCAGTAGGGCAGCCTTAGGGTCAGCAGCCTGGACAGGGAGCTCCGGGCTTTCCACAGGTGGAAGTAGCCATCTAGAGACACGGCTCCCAGCTCCTGGTTTTTGTTGTTGAATGCAAGGGCTCGCACTTTGCGGTTACCTGGATTGGTAGTAGCTTTGGGGATGGCCTCCATATCTCTAGGACGGATGTGAGCATACACAGGAAGCCCCGCATCCTTGTGCCAAGCAATGCTGCCATTGAACATGTCGGGATCCACCCGCCAGAGTGCCACGGTGCCGTCGCGGGATCCACTCACGACCACCGTGTCACTCATCCACGCGATGGCGAAGATCCAGTCCCTGTGGCCCTGGCAATCTCCTAGGCACACGGGATCCAGAGTGGGCAGCTGGTAGATCGCCAGGCTGTTGGGATTTTCCCCTCCAGTGGCCATGAGGGTCTTGGAGGGATTCAGCTCCACAGCATGGATGCCACAGGAGGGCGAGCCTTGGGCCATGTCGGGCACCCGGTCGCGCATCAGGGGAATGCGCATAATGTGGTCGGTCTGGACATCGACCACGAAGAGCGTGTTGCACTTGGTGCCACACACCACCTGCCTGGCATTGAGCCACTGCGACGCGAACACCTTGTTGAGGGGGCCGAGGGTCAGCTGGCGCTCCCTCAGCAGCTCGGGCAGCCTGACGACCCCGTAGCCGCGCAGGTCGCCCTCGAAGCCCCCCAGCCCCGGGTGGCCCTCGGCGCCCAGCGCGCGGCCCTTCAGGTAGTGCACCAGCGAGTGGCTCGCCGCGGGCCGCCGCGGCCTCTTGGCCAGCAGCAAGGACCCCTCGGTTTGGCCTGCCTCGGCTGTCGCCATCGCCGCAGACGGGCCTGGCGATGAAGAGGTCCCCGCGCCCTCCTCGACCTGGGCGGCTTTCCGCTTCCTGCTACCTGTTTGCTGAGGGGCCATGGTGGGCGGCGGGCGGTTGGAGGGCCCGGGCTGTGGCGTCTCCTGTGCGGCGGCGGGAGAGGGCGGCGCCTCGGAGTCGGCCTGAAGCATGGGAGCGACCGCGAGCCGGAGGCTAGGCGAGCGAGCAGCGAGCGAGCGGCTGGGAGCCTGCGGAGTCCCGAGCGCGTTGGCGGCAAATGAGGTGAACGCGACGTGACCCAGCGAGCAACGCGAGGTCGGGCCGGAAAGAGCCGAGCGAGCTCGGAAAACTCCGGGCTAGGGCCGAAGGTGCGCCGAGAGCTAAGAGTGGAGTCGCTGCGGTGAGCCAGCTCAGCGTGTGGACTTCTGGGCCTGGAGCGACAAGTCCCTGGAGGATGAGGACAGCTGGGCGGGCGGGAGGGGGAGGCTCTGGGGGTGGTGTTGGAAGACGAGGTGGGACGGGCTGACCATAAATGGCAGGAGTGATGGGAGGTGTGCAAGGGTGAGCCCTAGGGCTGGGAGATCGTGGATGGAGGGTAGCTTATGCCCAGCCAGAAGGGGGCGGTAGGTAGTAGTAAAGCCAAGAAGATATAAAAGTGACACAAAAGCTAGAAAGGTGCTTGGAGGAACAGGGAGACATTACTCTAGGGCCAGTGGTCCAGGACCTTCGGGATCCAACAAGTCAAACTCAGCCACCCCTTCCAGAGCAGCCAAATATCTTTCAAATCTCTACTCCAATAAAATCTGAAACCCAACGTGTAGTCAATCTTGAGATGAGACAGCCTTGATCATTATTCTCTGGGGAAGAAAACAAAAGTGTGCTTTTAATCAACGGAGACTCTTTACTAAGGTCATACATTGAACTTGGCAGAAAAAGAAGTGTTTGAAAATAGCAGTTCTTGTTCTTTTGAACAGCCCTTTTGCTGGTGGTAGCTTATTTCAACAAATCATTTTTTCCTCCTCCTCAAATCTTCTGTGCTTCTGCAACAGAATCATCTGAGAAGACCATATGAAATGACAAATCATCGGGCCTCAGATTCTGCCTGCCTGTGATGATGCCCAGGACTTGATGGTAGATTATCATAGTCTTTAACATTAGGTGGGTTGTGCCAATTGGCTAGGAAGAAGTGAAGTTGGGTATTTTGGAGATACTATCATCTCCTTTAGCTCAGAAAACTAAGGAAATGGGGTAGAACACAGCAAGTGAGGAGCTGGGAATGAAGGTTCTCATTGTCAGTTCCAGAGGCCCATGACCTTAGACAGAGACCTTTGAGACTTTGAGTTAGGAATGTGACAACGAATGGTCAGGATTTTTAAGAACATACGGAGAGACAGAGAACGTTCTAGAAGGAAGCAAGCATGTAAACACAATGGAAAAACAAGAGTAGTCTGGATCACAGATGCTCAGGAGTCAGAAAGGAAAGTTTCATATTGTTTTGTTTTGAGTGTTTGTTTTTGCTTCACGACATCACATCTCATGACAGACCTATACTTGGTAGCTAAGTAGAGTGTGACTTTAACTAATTAGGAATACATTGCATAAAGGTTCTTGCCTGATACTGACTCTAAATATACCTTAATCCTCCTCCACAAAACATAGTGTGTTGAGAATGGGGGCCATGAATTCACTTTTCTGACTAATCATACAGTTTAAGAACTACTTAATGGTGTTCCCTCCCCCCAAAAGCCCACTACATTTTGCTTATATTATTTCTACTACTTTTTGCACCTTCACTTCAAGTGTAAATTCCAAGTACAAGCCATTAGTCCTTCTTTTGCATCATTCCAGTTAAGCTGTCTCATATTTGTACTCCCCAATACTCTCCAGTGTAGTCCGAATGTTTCTTGGGTCCCACCAAGCCCCCGCAGTCCTGTGGCCCACTTATAAAATAATCACTCAGAAGCTTATATTAATTATAACTGTATGGCTCAGGCTTATTACTGACTAGCTCTTACACTTAAATTAACCCATAATTCTTATCTATGTTTAGCCATGTGGCTTGGTACTTTTTCTCAGTTCTGCTTTGTCATCTTGCTTCCTCTGTCTGGCTGGCAACTCCGGACTCAGTCCTTCCTCTTCCCAGAATTCTCCTCATCTGCTTACCCCGCCTATACTTCCTGCCTGGCTACTGGCCAGTCAGCATTTAATTTATCAACCAATCAGAGCAACACATATTCACAGCATAAAGAATGACATCCCACAGCATTCCAGTCCCAGAGTTCTGACCCTTTTCCATCTTATCCATTTTATGGCAAAAGAAAAAGTGAAATCAGTTGGTGTGTTCAATGAGAAACTATTGTTTCCACTGTTAGGTGTGGGATGCATAAACATTTCAGAAAAAAGTGAACTATGTGAACAGGTACAAGATGTATATATGAGTAATACATGGAGTTTAGTGCTCATCAAGGTCACAGGAGCAATTTCATAAGTTATTATCCCACCTTGGATGAATCCCTAAATATTTTCATGCAGGTGACTTGCAATATTCTTAGAGAAACACTGATGTATTCTTTTTTCACTCAGGTGGAAGCCAGAAGTCTTACATTTAGGAGAATGCACTCTACAGTGTGTCTCAATGTTGCTCCTAAAATGGAAACTTTCCAGGTGAGTACTTTGAAAGACTTGACAAACAAAAGGGATTATAGTGGTTTAGGTAAGGGAATTCTACCTGTAGAGTATTAAGGATGCAGAATATGTTATAAATTACTATGGTTTTATACTTTGCAAGACTATCACACTATTAATCATTATTATTAGACTATTGTAATCCCTATCCTGTTTAAATATCTCCTATAATACCCATTGTATTGACCAGGAAAATGAAATTTGAAAAGATCCTGATTTTGTCTGAAATCAATGAATTGCTAAGTGAACTGAAGTAGGCTGAATCCAGATTTCCTCCTCTTATTCAGTTCTTGGGTGTTGACAAAATTAATGAAAGATTCTACCAGTGACAGAGATTTCAAAAGACTAACCTGTAGCAACATAAGTGATTGTACATTGAGATGAGATATCTGCAAAAAGTTGAGTGCCAGGAGTAGAAGCACTATGAGAAGTTGTTATGGACTCTCAGACTTAGTCTGTGATCATTAGTAATGCCCTTCTAGAGCAGCAGCTTTCTAGACTAACAAGTAGTATTGCAGATCATTCTCTGATCATGTAGTGAAACAGTGGGATTATATACAGAAAACAGGAAGGAATAAGGATCACATCTAGCTGTCTTTTTCTTAAGACCATGTGAGCTCCAAAAGTCTAATAAAAATCCTATAGATAGAAGATGGAATACTTTAAATTATAGGTATTTGACTTTCTGTGAGCTTGATATATTGAGGTTGAACTCCACACCATTTGTCTTGGAAGTTAAAAAATAAATAAATAAAAACAAGTGTGCTGAATCTTCCTTTCCTTTCCCCAGTAGAAGGTAGGGGTCAGAAAAATAAGATGATTTCTGTTCTGTGAGGGATGGTATACTACAGATAATTGATTGTTACCCTTTGACATATTTAATGTCATTCCACAGGTCATAATGCAATGTTCTCAGTTAACATATTCACTGTAGAGGCAGAAAGTAAGTATTATAAAGGTCAAAAACATTGAAATATAGGAATGGAATCTTTCAGATCCTCCCTCTTAAAGCAAAACCAAAAATACGTTTTAATAAAAACACTCTACATAGCACAACTGACAAATAATGGAAATATGTAAATGCAAGGAGTGCAAGATGGATGCTGAACCTTGTAATTAAAGGAAAGATAAGATAGTGAATTCCCCTCTGCCCTTAATGCGTCACGTAAGTCCTGTGACTGAGAAACCTCCACGAGGGCAGGTGATAAAATCTCTAAGAAAACCTGTTTTTACTAGGTAATGGGTCTGGACACTTGGAAGCCTAACCTTTTATGGCAATATATACCTTACTTTAGCAAGACACCAAAAGAGTCTCTACCCTGTCTGATATAGATATATAGGCTATAGATGTGATAGGATAAAAGGGTAGATTGTTGAACCTACTTTTAAAAAACAACTTGTTTGAAATGTTTTACATTGCTATGGATTTTAGTTTATTGATACAAATTTAAAGTTAATTTTGTTATACTGTGTGTATATTTCTACTCTTGTTTGAGGTATTATGTTTATGTAACTCATTTAGATTTTAATGGATAATTAAAAACACAGATTAATAGTTAATCACCTATGATAATCAAACTTATAGTCATGTTAGTTTAGTTTTCTAGGTATACATAGATATATTTCAGATAGATAGGTAATCTTCAAACACTTCAAAGATCTACAGAATATGTTTTAAAAATTTAGACTTTCTGGACAGTGAGACATATCTGCTCCTGGCAGCACCAATTTACTTCAGAGAGGAGGATGGACATTGAAGATACTCCATTTGGAAGTTTATCCTCTTCTTAACAAAAATAACATTTTAGGCCAGAAGCTGTTCTTGCCTGGACTGCTTGATCGACTGGACATGCAGGACCCATAAAAAGGTGACCACTGAACTTTGCTTGGCAAAATGGTCCTTCAGGTTCCTGCTTCGCAGAGGAAACTGCCAGACATTCTACAGGACACAGAGAAAAGTGATTGAGAGACTCTCGGCCTGTGGGCTGATGACAGATGACCCAACTTTACAGAGCAAATTTGGATGACTGTCCAGGCTGCCAGCTGACTCTGTCTACTCTCACAAGACTCCCGAAAGTTGCTTGTGTCCTTCTCCTGTTTCTCAGGTAATATATCCTTCTGAGGTCTTTGATGTAGATAAAGACTAGATTGTTATAATTTCCTTAGTCATGATAAAAGATAAGTTCGATATGAAACCTTAGACTCACAAATATAAAATAGAATATCTTCTTTAATTTTGCCAAATACAAATAGACTAGATATTATAAATAGACTAGATATTGTAACTAATTCTTGCTTGATAATTCCTCTGTTATATGTAATTTTAATATGTTAAAGTTAAAACCTTCCCCTTTGAAAAAAAAAGAGGGAAGTGATGGAGGAGGTCTTTCTGTATGTTGTGAATGTGTTGCTCTGATTCATTGATGATTAAAATGCTGATTGGCCAGTAGCCAGGCAGGAAGTATAGGCAGGACAAAGAGAGAGAAGAATTGTGGGAAGAGAAAGGCTGAGTGAGGAGTTGCCATCCAGACACAGATGAAGTGAGATGTAAAAGTACCAGTAAGTAATAAAAATGGGTTAATTTAAGATGTAAGAACTGGATAACAAGAAGCCTGAGCCATTAGGTCAAACAGTTTAAATAATATAAGCATCTGTATGTTTATTTTGGTCTGAATGGCTGTGGGCCCCGTGTGAGACTGGAGATAACTCCAGCAACCCCTGTCTCATTTTGCCACACACTGTTACAATGGAACCAAATTTTGAAAGCTGTCAGTCCATTGTCTTAGAGGCAGGAACTAAAGTTACACTCTCATTCTTTGGCAGGACTAATGTCAGTATGGGCCAAGGTGGGGTTAAGCCTTCACTTACACATAATCCAGAGATAGACTTAAAAAGACCTCTTGAGAACCATTTATCACCCAAATGTGTTACCTTCTTCCTTTTCTACTGTGACAGGAATGCTCACTAAGAAGCTGAACTTCTGCTCAACCTTGTATCAATGATACTTAACAAAGCACTGAGAAAGTGAGCTATCAATATTCTACTTTCACCCATCCCTGGCATCAGCAGAGTGCTGAACTTCCATATCCAGTCAGCAATAAAATGACTGAATAAAAGAGTGAGGAGCAGGACAATTCTTTGCCCTCAAGAAACAATGATGTTCCCCAAAGTAGAAATTCAAGAAATTGAATGAGTGAAGGTAATATGTGTAAAAGTAAATCCACACCAAGATGCTAAAATCAGAAAAAATGATGCAAACAGATTCAGTTTGAGTTGTTAAGTGAAAGTGGGTGATGAAGCATGAAAATGACCAAACAACGTGATATACATATGTGAAATTGTCAAATTGATTTGATATGCTTCTTGGTGTAGGTAGAATACTTAAGAGTATAAACAGGCAATGTTTTTCATGTACACGTGGAACATTCACAAAAGTAAATATATCCTAGGCTGGAAAACAATCTAAAATCATATTCAATACTAAGTTCTCATAATATTTTACAAAAATAAAGGAATTAAATCAGAAAATAATAACACATTTTAAAGGAAAATTTTCAAATACTAAAGAATACAATAAATGTTCCATGGATGAGAAAACCCTCAAAGGGTTGAAAATAATGCATAGGAAGGGTAAATGTGAAAATAAAGCCTGCCAAAATGAATAGTTAACATCTAAATCACCGTCCAAATGAAAGGTCATGAACAATTTTAAATTCTCATTTAAATAAAGGCAATAATAGCACAAAGCAAGCAGGAGGAAATACTAATGGCTGAAGCAGAAAATGATAAAGCAAGGAAATGATTAAAAGAGAGAGCATTCTTTAAAATACTTAGCTATACTGATCCACTCCTCATGAGCCTGATAGACATGAAGAGGATGAAGTAGAAAGCGTAACTATAGCCCTTATAGACTTCAAAGGTATGATAAGAGACTACTGTGAACAATCTTACACATGTGAATTAAACAAATAAGGTAAATGGACTGCTATCTCAAACCTAATAATAAAAGACCTTTATGTGATCTTATTAGTTACCACTAACCAAAGCTTAGAAACTTGAGATGGGCCAGGCGGTGGTGGCGCACGCCTTTAATCCCAGCACTTGGGAGGCAGAGGCAGGTGGATATCTGTGAGTTTGAGGCCAGCATGGTCTCCAAAGTGAATTCCAGGAAAGGCGCAAAGCTACACAGAGAAACCCTGTCTCGAAAAAAAAAAAAAAAAAAAGAAACTTGAGATGATTGTGTAACTGTTAAGGAAATTCAATTCATAATTTTAAACTACACAAAAGTGATTTCCCAGCATATTTTCTGCTGATAACTATATTAGACTTTAAAAAAGACTTAGTACTAAATTTATACATTTTTTTCTTAAAATCTAAAAGAGGTACCGCGTTGCAACAATATACCATATTAGACTAAGTAGTTCAGACAACAGATATATATTTTCTCAGTGCCTGAAGCTAGTTTGTTTGTCAAAATAGGCTTAGTTTAGATGATTTATTCTTTTAAGTTTTTGCCAAGTTGCTTTATCAGAGTGTACTCACATGCCTCTTCTTTTTGTGAGAATAGAGAGAAATTTGAATTTTCCTCTTCTTATAAAACAAATCTAATGGGTTAAGACCCTACCTTTATAACATCCTTCAAATTAATTACTTCATTAAAACACTATCTCTGAGCATTTTCATATAAAGTGTGTGTGTGTGTGTGTGTGTGTGTGTGTGTGTGTAGGTCAGAAGATAATCTCTGATGTTCTTATTCAGATGATGTCCAATTTTATTTTTGAAACACAGTCCCTCATTGGCTTAGAATTCACAAAGTGAGCTAGACTGGTTGACAGGCCCAGGGCCAAGTTCTGTGCCCTCAGTGGTGGTATTACAAGCCACCACACTTCGATTTCTATGTGGGTGCTGAGGATTAATCTCAGGTCCTCATATTTGCATTTCCAGTATTTTACCAAATGAATTATTTTCCCAGCTGTCTATTTTCATAAGTTGCAAAGCATCCATGGATAAATTTTGAGAACACCCTGTTCCTCCTTAGCAGGAGGGAACACATCCCAACATATTTTATAATCCTATAATCCTCAACAAAATATTGGCAAATTAAATCTATAAACAGAAATTGTACAGAATGATCAGTTTGGACTTAACCCAGTTGTCTAAGATTGATTCATCATTCAAAAAGAATCAGTGTATACAACTATGTCAACAGTATAAGAAACATCATATGATTATTTTAAATGTCACAGAAATACTATTGAACAAAATCCAATCCCTACTGATTAAAGCTCTCAGCAAATTTGGAATAGAACTTTAAAAAGAACAAGCACAAACATTTAAGCAAACATTTCATTTAAAGTTGAGAAATTAGATATTTTACCTCTTAAATTAAAAACAAGAAAACATTTCTGCTTTCATTATTTTTATTCACTATAACTGATTTTTTTTCTAATCTAATAAAACAAGAAACAGAAGTAAGGCCTACTTGCCAATAGAATATCAAGATACCCACAAAAATAGTTCCTAGAGCTAGTAACTTCAGTGAATTCACAGAATGGAAGGCTAATAATGCACACAAGTCAACAGTATTTCTACATACCCAAATAATATTTAGGAATATAGTAAAAAAATGGAACTTTATTTAATTATGAAGATAAATGAAATATTTACAAATATAACTACATAATGCAAAGGCACAATGTGTCTAGTGAAAATAGCTTAATAACATGTGTGTATTAGAAAATACAGCATAATCAAACTGTAAATACTACTGAAATTGATTAGCGTTATTTTCTACCAAAACTTAGAAATGTGTGTTTCCATATATGAATAAGCTTATTATAAAACTCGTGTGGAAAGGCACATACCATCAAGCAACTAGTCTTATATAAACTTAAGTGTAAGAGATCACTATATACTTTTATGGTGCTTGTATTTGAACCCAAGATCTCACACATCATTAGATAATTATACCATTAAGCAATGTTCCTAACTTCAATTACTATAGATTTCTTGAAATGTCAGCATTATATACATAACAAATTAGTGCTTGCATTGATGGTGAAAGAAAGAAGAGGATGTGGCTGCAAAAGGACAATGTGGGGCTGGAGAGGTGACTCAGGGCTTAAGATCAGTGGCTGCTTTTTCAATGGACTCAGGTTAGGTTCCCAGCATCCACATAGCAGCTCACAACCACCTTTAACTGCAGTACCAGAGTATCTAATACTCTCTTCTGGCCTTAGCATGCACCATAAACTGAGACATAAAAGCAAGTAAAACACCACCCATACATGTTAAATCAATTTTAATTAGAAAAGGGTAATGTAGTTATCACTGGCAAAATGGAAATGTTTCATATGTTTGTTTTGTCAGTGCTATTGTCCTGTATTTTCCTTGTTGGAGAAAAACTGAGAAAAATAGATCTCTCTAACTTCTAATCTAAATTTAGTAACTATTGAAATTAAAACTCATTAAGAAGCAAGACATCAAACCCACAGAGACAACTGACCCGGGCTAGTGGGAGCTCCTGGACTCTGGACTGACAACTGCGGAATCTGCACAGGACCAAACTAGGCCTTCTGAATGTGGGTAACAGTTGTGTGGCTTGGGAAGTATTTGGGACCCCTGGCAGTGGGACCAGGACTTTTCCCAAGTGCATGAACTGGCTTTCTAGAGCCCATTCCCTATGGAGGGATATCTTGCTCAGTCTTGATGCAGGGGGGAGGGGCTTGGTCCTGCCTCAACTTGATGTGCCAGACTTTGTTTACTCCCCATGGGAGGCCTTACCCTCTCTGAAGAGTGGATGGGGGATGGGGTAGGAGAGAAGTTGAGGGGGAGCAGGAGGAAGGGAGGGAGGGAGAACTGTGATTGGTATGTAAAATGAATAAAAATTGTTAAATAAAAAAAGAAGCAAGACATGGAATATATAAAAGCATTGAGGAACAGGGAAAATGAAAAAATACTTTAAAAGAAAAATGTTACTCCTTGGTTACTAGGTGTTATAGTGACTTGGTGAACTCTTGCTACAGTTAGGAGGCTTTAATTTTTAACTTGTAAGGGATCATGAGAACATTTGGCACTAGAGATGGAAAATACCAAATAAACAGATGCCACTCTCCCTCCTTGACAGTATTCACTCTACGATATGCAACTGCCAGTCATAAATAGAACTGAACAGAGACAGCGTCATCAGCATTACAGTCACTTCATAAGGTAACTTAAGAAGGCTGGGAATTGACTTCAGTGTGGTGCGGAAATCATGATTATTTTAAAACAAGTTTCTTTTCATTTTATATTTATTTATTGGAGATGGGAAGAGAGAGAGAGAGACAGAGAGAGAGAGAGAGAGAGAGAGAGAGAGAGAGAGAGAATGAGAATAAGCATGTGGTTTTTTTTGTGTGTACATGTGTGCATTTCTGTGCACCCCACACACACGTGCAAGTGTGCCTGTGTGTCTGTGTTCATGTGTTGTGGTGTTCAGGTAGAGGTCAGAGGACAACTTGTAGGGAGCTGGTTCTCTCCTTATATCAGGTCTTGGTGGCAACTGTCTTTATCCCTTGAACCATTTCACTGGCCTCAAAATCATAATCCTTTTCTTTTCAGTGTGTTTGCATGTGTACATGTTTTTGTTTGTACAGCCATTAGCACAAAGGAAGAGGTCATGGGAACACATTCAGTATCCTGTTCTATTATTTTACACATATTCCTTTGAGACAAGTGCTCTCATCAAGCCTGAATCTGGATTGCTGGTCAGCAATCCCCAGAGGTCCTCCTATCTTTGCAGTTACAGGTGGGTAACACTCTGCTTGGCTGTTTACATGGGTGCTGGGGATTGACATTCAGATCCTCAGGCTTGAGCAGTAAACTCTCTTATTCACTGAGCGATTTCCCCATCACTGACATCATTGGAAAGTAGTTGTATTTATTTGTATCAAAGCATATTAAAGGTTTCAAATGGATATTGTGTTCAGTTGCATGTTTTATGAGATCGAATAAATGGCTTAGAAGAAATTTCATAGGGTATGCAGAGAAATCTATCCAATACACACATTCAAAATTTTAATCAGAATTATTTGATAGTTTCAATTTATTTAAATATAAGAAACACAAACTACCATATCAACACATTATATATACTATTAGTGCATAAAAGAAGCTTATTAAATTTAATACGTTAATAAAATAACATTTTAAAATATGACTTTAAATTTATAGTATACAAAATGCATTTACCCTGAAAGAATACTGGTTTATTTTAAATATTTTAGTGCCATTAAAATTGCATACTAGGTGATGTAGCCATTTAAAGATTTGTTTTTCTGTTCATTTCCTTATATTTTAAAATAGTGTTTCTGTTTATGAGTTCAATGGCTGTCACAGTTCAAATATATTTCACAAAGTTACAGAGATTTAATTAGAAACAGCATATTACGTTTGAGTTTCTTAAATCATGCATATTTTAATCCCAGCCAGTAATTATAGGTATATTTCTTCTTTTATTTTATTTCAGATTATAATATACTCAGACCCTTTCTCTCTCCCTTTTCTTCAAGCCCTCTTGTATATCCCTTCTTCCTTGCTTTCAAATTCATGGCCCCTTTTTATTTTATTGTTACTTCACAAATATATACATACATACATATATATATATATATAACATATATATGGTTACTAAATGCAACTTTCTCAGTCTGTATAATGTTTCTTGTATGTATGTTTTCATTTAATGATTTCATATAACATTTCAGTTATATTTGGCAATTAATTACATAGTTACAATTTGCACTTTTACAAATGAGTTGACATATTTTGAGTTTTCTTATATAGAGAAGTTTTGAAATATGCTTGAAATACAGTTTCTAATGCTGTTTTGTTTATGTGACAGTTTGCATTAAATTGTTAGCATATATTCATTATACAAAGGGATGGGTTTCATGTTGTCATGTTAATTCACAGATATTTTGCATATCCACCCAATAACCCTTTCCTGTCCACCTTCCTCCTAAATAACCCCTATCCGGATTCATGTCATCTTTCTATCTTTCTGTTTGTTTGTCTACCTACATATTTTTGTGTGTATGCGTAATATTAGATTCCATGTCTGAGAGAATATATGGAACATTTTTCTCTCTGAGGCTTACACTTTTACTTTTTGTAATCTACACACTTTTTTCTTTTTGTTTTTTCAAGATAGGGTTTCTCTGTATAGTTTTGATACCTGTCCTGGATCTTGCTCTGTAGCCCAGGCTGGCCTCGAACGCACAGAGATCTGCCTGGCTCTGCCTCCCAAGTGCTGGGATTAAAGGCGCGTGCCACCACGGCCAGCCTACACACTTTTTTTTTTTTTTTTTATTCAGGACTAAATCACATAAGGATAGAATTGTTTCAAACATTTGTTTGTAAACTCTAAACAAGGAGACTTTGTTCACAATAGTAAATTTGTCAATTGCCAGTCAGTTGTCAATGTTGGAATTAATTGGGGGTATTTTGTAATTGTATGTTTGCATTTTTAAAATGTATCAATGTTCTATTGACATTAAATGATAGTTCTTCAAATTTGGAAAGATTATTTTTGTAAAAGACAAATAGTGCAACTATCTCATATAAATTCACCATCAATAAAAAATAATATTAAGTGAATTGCATTGTATCAAAATAGCCTTAAAGTGCAATCATATAGCCTTTCTGTTTCATGGCTTCTTCTCTACATAATACAAAACAGACATAGAGACCTAATGTAATAGTATATCTGTATATTGAATATTGGTAAAAATTAATTACTTTTGATACTAAGTTGCTAAATATAGTCACTGGTAAGTAATAAATTGCATTGCGTTTCCTTGAAGCAGCACCGATTTTTGTTTTGTTTATTTGTTTATTCAGTAAAGATCTCGTGTACCCAAAGCTCACCTCAAATTCACTATGTGGCTGAAGATAATCTTTAAATTCTAATCTTCCTGCCTCAATTTCACAAGTCTTGTGATTACAGCTGTGCATCACCACTACTAGTTTTATCATGCTGAGGATGGAATTCGAAGCTTGCTGAATGCCAAGGAAATACTCTACAAACTGAATTACATGCCAGCCCAGGAATTCTTATAAATTCTTGTTATGATTCCCATAACTTCTATAAGTTAACTAATATCACTAGGTACAGTACAAATTGTTCACTTAAATTTGGATTTCAAATAAGCACTGATTAATTTTGTAGTGCATATATGTTCCAAATATTGAATTGGATGTATTAATACTAAAAATCTGTATTCCTAGAAATCTGGAGTCTAGGTCAGAGAATTACTGACTTTGAGGTTATGCTGGACTACACACTGAGACCTTGTTTCCAAAAGAAAATAACCCAAATGAAAGTGAGTTTAAAATAAAATACCCACAAGATGGTGTAACATCTATAACATTATAATATTTTTTCTGACACATATTTGAGAATATGAATACTCTTGAGATATTGCTGGTGGAAATGTGAATATCATAAACCTTGGTGGGGGAGCAACATGACCGTGTACTGTAGTTACAAATGCATATAATCTTCAGTAAAGCTATTTCTAGGAATTTAATCAATTAGGTAGAATGTCCAGTAGGAAATACATTATTTGAAAGGGTACTGATTTCAGAACTCTTCATAAGAGAACAATAATGGGTTAAAAGTGAATATACTTAAAAGGTAAGATATATTACAGTACTATGATAACTATCACGCAACTATTTAAAATACGTGTTTGATCTGTGACAGTTGACAGTTATAGGCTTTTGAGTAAGAACAGCAATATAGTAAATATGTGCATAAAATTATACCAGTTTGATACGAAACTGTTCAAAGCCTTATGTGAACACATGCATATGTGAGAAGAAGTATGAAAAAAAATCCTTTTCTCTCTTTTTAATTCTTATTTAGTTTGGACTTATTCTACTCATCTTACTAAAATTTCCAGAAAAAAAAGATACCCACCTAGCACTCTACTGTCATTGAATTGATGAAACAATTCTATAACTGCCTAACTACTTCCCATTCTTGACAATTGGGATTGAATTTGTGTTATTGCTTAGTATATGATTCTATGGATGTTTTGCCATTTGCAGCCAAATGCATTACCAATTTATCCAGATTTATACTTGCAATGTGTTTGTGGGTAATGGGCAAAGGGGGGCTGATAGGAGGAAGGAAACAGAATGGGAAAATAATGATGCAAGATGAAAACACAAGTAAGTACACAGTACCCCAAAATTTCACACATATAATATGATCATATTTTATGTTTATCAACTATATATATGATCTACATGTAGAGCTACAACTTTAAGCTGAACTAAATTGAAGTAACAACCTAAGTGCTTAATTAGATTGTATTGATCTCAAGACAGCATGTGGACTATCATCTATTTTTGAATACTTAGTAATAATTCAAGTACTATGCCAATTCATTCATATAATGTGTTTTTATTTATTTACTTTTTCATTGTTTCAACAGGCTCTTGCTAGGTATCTCAGGCTAACTTCAAAATGACTAGGTAGTCCACAGTGGCCTCACATTCATAGTCCTTTCCTAGCCTCCCAAGTGCTTGGATTACAGTTGTGCAGCACCATAGTAACTGTTTTATTAAATATTCACCACGACAAATGAAGGCATGGACTTTTTCTCCCGTTAAAAATATTACTAAGTAGATACAAAAACTCGAAGACAACTAGCAGATTCATATAGCTAGTATATAAAACACCTGGAATTAAAATATACCCTGGCTTGCTGGGAATAGTGTGCAAGCCTTTAATCTCAGCATTTGGATGACACAAGCAGAGAGGCAGGAAGTTCTCTGTAAGTTCAAGGACAGTGTGGTCTACAAAGTAAGACCCTGTCTCTCTCTCTCTCTCTCTCTCTCTCTCTCTCTCTCTCTCTCTCTCTCTCTCTCTCTCTCTCTCTCTCTCTCTCTCACACACACACACACACACACACACACACACACACACACACACTTATACACACTTGTGCATTGTAGACAAATTTCTAAGTGGTCTTATTAAATAAAAAACACGGAGCCAAATATAGGCGTGAAAGCCTTAGGAATCAGGGAAATAGGAATAGACACCAGCTAACCTTACCTCACCACGCTGAAGCTTCCAAACTGTGCTACTTCCTGTCTACCCACACCTTTATTGCCTTGCTATTCTGCCCTCTCATTGGCTCTTAGCCCAGCTACCTCACTTCCTTGTCACTGCCTGTCTGTACAGACCTCCAGGTCTCTATGGTTGGTACTGGGATTAAAGGCGTATGTCACCATGCTTGGTGCTGTTCCCTAGTGGCCTTGAACACACAGAGATCCTGCCTGCCAAGTGATCAGATTAATGGTGTGGGCTACCGATGCCTGACTTCTATGTTTACTTAAAATGGCTTGCTATTTCCTCTGATCTCCAGGTAAACTTTATTAGCATACAAATAAAATATCACCACATTTTAGCACAAATAAAATATTACCACAATGCATACACACGTATAAGCAACACTGCTGTTTTCACTTATAAAATAAATCATATAATAAGGTTTACTTAATTTACTTGATGAGTAAGAGTTGCTTTCATTTTTAAGGTTTAATATAGCAATGAAATACTAAAAGTACAGTTCAGCTGTGGAGAAATAGTCATCTTATAAAGTTAGTTAATATACATTGAACTTTTTGTCCAATTGCTTGGCTCTACTTGAGAGTTTTCATGGACATAGCAAATAGGTCTCAATTACAGCATAATTTAAATTCAAATAAGAAGAAATTGAAAATATTTAACATTATTTCCCTCATATCGTACTAAAATTAAAGGACCAATATTCATCAGCAAAGGGTCCACCCATTCCTTTCTAATTAATCCTTCTTATTTTATTTTATTTTATTTTACAATACAATTCAGTTCTACATATCAGCCACGGATTCCCTTGTTCTCCCCACTCCCACCCTCCTCACCTTCCCCCCAGCCCACCCCCCATTCCCACCTCCTCCAGGGAAAAGCCTCCCCAGAGGACTAAGATCAACCTGGTAGACTCAGTCCAGGCAGGTCCAGTCCCCTCCTCTCAGGCCGAGCCAAGCGACCCTGCATAGGCCCCAGGTTTCAAACAGCCAACTCATGCAATGAGCACAGGACCAGGTCCCACTTCCTGGATGCCTCCCAAACAGATCAAGCCAATCAACTGTCTCACCCATTCAGAGGGCCTGATCCAGTTGGGGACCCCTCAGCCATTGGTTCATAGTTCATGTGTTTCCATTCGTTTGGCTATTTGTCCCTGTGCTTTATCCAACCTTGGTTTTTTAAATTTCTTCTTTATGAAGTCATAAAAAAGCAAGTGTTATGCCTGCATTCTCAAAGCATATCTGATGGCAACCTGTCTCACATGCAAATTTTATTATGAAAGAAACATTTTTTCTTTGTTTTGACCTCATGTGCTTTTCCCTTGCTTCCAACCAACTGCACCCTATGCAAGGCCAGATGGAATGTAAGACAATGAACAGAAGATTGAAGATAATGAGATTCTCAGTTTTAGTAAATTATTTAAAAAAATGACAAACGCTAAGAACCTCATACGCATTTGTATACTTACTTAAGAAGAGAACTTTCAAACCCTGACTTGAGAGAAAAGAGAGACATGAAATCAAATTAAATAAATTAAGAACTTCACAATAAATGTATCCACATGAATTCATATTATCGCTAACAGAGGAGTAAACAAAGGGATTCCTGTTTGCAACATGACCTGGTTAGCCTTATTTGGCAACTTAACACAGCCTAAATTCATCTGTGAGGAGCCTCAATTGAGGAAAAGCCTAGATAAGGTTGGTCTATGGGAATGTCTGTGGGGAATAGCCTCATTTGTCAATTGATGTAGGAAAAGCCAGCCCAGTGTGTGTGGCATTATTCCACAGGGAGATGGTCCTGGGTTGTGTAAAATGCTAGCAATAAAAGCAAGCCAGTAAGTAGCATTCATTGATGGTTCTGGTTCTTGACTCTACTTCTGCCCTGACTTCTCTCAGTTAAGGACTGTGAATTGGAAATACAAGCCAAAGAAACCCTTTCCTCCCCCTGTTGATTTTGGTTAAAGCATTGTATCATAGCAACAGACAGGAAACTAGAATGCTGTATTTCTTCTAAATTCCTAACATTTTTAGTCTCAAATTCTGTAGTATATTAAAAGGAAATTTGGAGTAAACCAGTGCTCAGTATGTGCTGCAGTTTAGTTAATTTTAATTTTACATAAGATCATGTGTATTACTTATCGTTATTCCACTAATAAAGGAAGTCTGATTTTCTGAATTAACACATTGATAAGAAATTTCTCACTGAGCAAGATGCTATCTTGAAGATAAATAAGTGAAAATAGAAATCAGTAATCTGTCTATGTATATATATGTACTCAAAAATTGTATATGTATAAGCAGTAATTTCCTTTGTATGTACTAATGGTTCAAAAAGACATCAATAAGGAGTGCTTCTAAATGTATCTACATTTCTTTAGCTAAACACAAATTATTTTCCACTATATTTATATAATGATTCAAAAGATTGCTTACAATGCCAGGCGGCGGTGGCACACGCCTTTAACCCCAGCACTCGAGAGGCAGAGCCAGGTGCATCTCTGTGAGTTCGAGGCTAGCCTGGTCTACAGAGCGATATCCATGATAGGCAACAATACTACACAGAGAAACCCTGTCTCAAAAAAACAAAAAAAAAAGAAAGTGTACTTACAGGGAGCACATATGAATCTGGTTAAAATAATAAGCAAGCACAGTGCAACACACTCTGCATATTTTGAGACAGGGCCTTACTATATTGCCTGTACCTCCCAAAACTGAAAGTTTGCTCGACTAGCCCAATAGGCACAGCAATCCTGCTGCCTCAGTCTTCTTCTTCTGAGGCCTGCCATTAGTAGTATGTTAGCATACCCAGATTGATTTTCTTTTAGTGGCTATATTGGCAACATGAATACATAAAAGTAAGTTGCATGTTTTCAAGTACAAAAGCTTATCAAATTCTCATACTGAAAACTTTTCTTCCATGTCAAGCACTTATAAAATAATATTTTAAATAACGATGTATTTTAAAGTTCATTTTTCTTATTTTTGCATGTGTATAGGTATCTGTGTGTGGGTATATGTGCCTGAGTGCAGGTACCTGCAGAAGCCAAAGACATTAGTTCCTGTGGAGATGATTTACAGGTGAACTGCAGGATCTATAAACCTCCATGTCATCATTTTTTCTTAAATTTAAAGTTTGAATAAATGAATATTTAAAAAATAATAGTCGTAAATGACATTTATTTGTATGTTAATGAATGCTGGTGATAGTAATCAAAGCAACCCTAATTTATATGCCATGCGACTGAAATAGTATTAAAATGCTGGTAAATTCCAGTAATCGACAATAAATCAAATTTTGTTCCAAATCCTACAGATGTACTGTGTTATTCAGCTTGGACTACAAAAACAAAAATACCTTGGATTTAATGGCTTAAACAACAAGGATTTATTTTTCACAGTTCTTGAGGCTGGAAAGCTGAGATTAGAGGACTAGTGTCTCAGGAAAGGGAACCTTCCAGACTTCTGAAGATAGCGTTTTCTCTGAGTCCTCTTCACATAACACAGGAGAATCTGCCTTCAGGGATTTACATAATGATACCTATACTTCCATAATCTATCTGTTAATTCCCACTCACTGAAAGTTAGGAGTCCAACAGAAGAGTTTGTGGTGATGATATAGAAACATTCAATAGTTATAATTGAATGAGATACATTAAAAAACATTCATTTATATATAGTAATTTAAAATGTATTTTGGATAATCATTCACAATGCAAAAATCATACATCTATGTGGTTTGCAGTGAAACGTATTTGGCAGATTAGTACAAAATGTATTTCTCTCAAAAATTTTAACATGCATGTTCTTTGTGTACAGTCTCTGAGATGTTTTCCATGAAACAAATCAGTTTTGCTTCATTCAGTGTTTTCCAAAATTACATTACATTATTAGACATTGTTGTATAGAAAACACTGAGAATTGATAATTTCTTTCTGACATGCTCTGCTTTGTCTTCATGTCTCCCAAGGGGGATTCTAACCATATATTTTGTGAATTTGGGTAAGACATGCGATATTATATATGCCCTGCAAAAACAACAAAAAGAATGTTGAACTGAAACAACATATGGAGCCATGGTATAAAACATGTTTAAATATTATATGATTAATATTTAGTATCTTACTCAGAACAATTTTTTAATTTAACACCTTTATTACTTTTATTTATTAATGTTTATATGTATGTATGTATGCACATTTTTGTCTTATTGTTTGAGACAGGGTTTCTCTGTGTAACCTTGGCTGTCCTGGAACTCGCTCTGTAGACCAGCCTGGCCTCAAACTCAGAGATCTGCCTGCCTTTGCCTTCTGAGTTCTGGGATTGAAGGCATATGCCACCACCACCCAGCACAGAAGGATATTTTTTATTTTCTATATTTTGAAACTAAATTTTTTACATCATTTTCCCCTTTCTCATTCTTTCTTTGAACCCCTCCTATGTTTCTTTAAAGAAAAATAGGCTAGAGGCCATGTATTTGAGAGAGAGCAAGAGGAAACATAGGAAGGATTCAAAGGAGGAAAGAGAAAGGTGTATAATATGTATATGTACTATACACACACACACACACACACACACACACACACACACACACACACACACACACACACACACACACATACACACACACAACCTGCACAGCCTGCTCAGTCCTTATTATGTTATTAGTTTGTGTATGATTTCAGGTCTGACCACTTGGATCTGCATAACTAACTGGAGGGCTCTTCCATTGATGGGATCATGTGAGATTTCCTCCTTCCATGTTATCATGTCTATTGTTGGTAGACTCTTAAGTTCTTGTTTAGGCTGCCTTGTTGTTGAGACAAGTGGGTGTATCTTCCCAGACTATGAGATTCATTCTCACAGCAGACGTACTGTTCTTGCAGCTTGTATAATCTTTCTGTTGCCTTTTCCTATATATTGCCTGAACATTAGGTTCAAAAGTTGTGTTTTTCATTTTTCATTTGGGATTCTGCACTAAAGGACTACTTGTTCTCCCTTTTTTTGGTCAGTTGTTATTTCCTGTAAATGTCTCTATGTGTTGCAAAGGGAAGTTTCTATGTCGAAGAGTAAGTGGTCATAGTAGGTTCTCTTCAAAGATCTATAACCTCACTAGCCCTAGGTTGTTGAGTAAGTTTCCAGTACTACGTATGATTTTCCTCTGGTTCAGTAGGCCTTTAGACAAATCACAGAGCATTATATTGAAAAGGAAGATAGTGGCAGCTCTGTCACATTTATGATTTCAGAAGGACTGCTTCAACTTTTTCTTTATTTAGGATAATGTTTGTAAGATTGTGGCTGGCTCAGCAGAGCTGTCTAAATTAGGCAGAGTCACTTGATGTGCTAGGCTAGATCAGAGGGTTTGGGTATGGTACCTGGAGGAGAGCATCAGGCAGACTCACTGGGCTAGACGCTGCCACAAGTTGTGCAAGACCTATCTGAGCTGAGATGATAGATGTGAACTGAGAAAGGGCAAGTATTACAAGTAGGTGACAGATGGTTTCCTGACATGAGGCTGAAGGTTGTGATGTGGGGGGGGGGGGGCAAACAAGGCTATCCAGACTAGGCTGGGGCACTAGATGTGGGACTTTGGTTAGATCTTGGGGACCGGGAAACACGCATTGATTAAAGGATCAAGATGACTTGCCCACCTGGATTCTGGTACAAAATGTTTAGGACCTGGCTGACAAGAAGTATGTTGATGGTGATGTGAGCCATTTAATTATGTGAATGATAAAGGGAGGATACATGAAATACATCTGTATCACTATAGATGACTTTTAACTATCTAGAAGACTGATTGTTATAAACAGTGATCTGGAGTATATTCTAATACTACAGCACATGGCACCCACTCTTTAAAACAAACATACATGTAA